GCCGTAGAATAACAGATTTTGTTTTCTATCATAAATTTCTTTTAAAAGTATAGCCTCATAGAGACTCAATTGTAGAATTAACACATTCTTGCCTTGTAATTTGATCTTGCTTTAAATCTTCTACTAATTTTGCCTGGTGCTCTTGAGTATTTTGCAAATCGTGAAATTTTCTGTTCATAATGAAGATTTTGTTTGTCTAATTTAGCAATTCTTTCTTGCATAACATCCATCCTTTTATTTAGGCTATCCTCTATTCTTAGCATGATCTCTTTCAGTTCATTTGTGCTTACCACGTGTGGCCCTCCGACCGTACCGGCTCACTGCTCACGACTGTCGTTGCTCGTTGTAGCAATGGCGTCGGGGCTAGCTTGCATATCTTCCTTGTTTAATTCAATTTCCTTCTGTTTTTTTTGTTTTAGAAATTATCTTTTTCGTTGATTTTTCATTTGTCGTGTTCCTGAGCATATAGCCCGTGATTTTGTCGTTGTCTCGCTCTTTACCGCTCCTTTTTTATGTGTTTTTTCGAGTTGAGAAACAGAGACGGTTACACGTGTGTGACCGCCGTTGAAGCCATGTGAGAAAAAGTTAAACTTCAATTTTGATTTGACTTCGTCAAATGTTCAATGCACACAGTCGGACAACAGATGATTTATGATATTTGTTTTGTATATAGTAATCTGAAACCCATAAAATATCAGTTCAGGTATTCATTTATCTGTCTGTGGAAAATACAAAATAAAAAGAATTCAAATAAAATTAAAAATATGTAAAAAACATCTACACTAAATCAAAATGAATTATTCACTGCCTGTTGCATCCCAGTTTTAGTATTGCAGGGGTTCTAAAGGCTTTACAGTATAACTAATCCCTGTATTTCTGATAGATTCAGTACATTCTCAAATGTTATGTAAATCTCATATATCCCAAAATTACGTTATATTCATGCACCGAAATAGAAAGTTTAACTTAATAATTTTGATATGTTTTATGTTGAATGGTTTTTAATGATATTATTAGTCTAATATGACCACAACATAAGGAAATCCTCTCCTTTAAACTTCTAACCTACTAAACATTTTGTATCTCAATATAAATTATTATATATTTTCTTAAATCAAGGAAATACACTCGTTAAATTAGTATATAGTATATACTATAGAAAATTTTGTCTGTCAATCACAGATATCCAAATATTAGGAAATCGTTTTATACATGCACTGACATGAGAACTTTAACCCAATAAAATTGATATGAATATGTTTTATGTTGTTTGTTGAATAGACTTCTTTAATAATAATATTACAGTCTAATATGACCACAACATAAGGAAGTCCATTCTGTAAATGTTTAGCATAATATAGTACAGAGAATTTCGATTGTTTATCAATATCATCATGTTAGATCCAAATCACGTTTTATGCAAGCATCGACAAGAAAAGATTAAACATAATAATTTTGATATGTACATGTTTTATGTTATGTGTTAATAATATTACAGTTTAATGGCTTAATGTTAATAATATTACAGTTTAATGGTTTACAATAATATTTCAGTTTATTGGCCCCGGAAACATTTTAAATATTAGTATTAGTATTATTAAATAAAACTTGCAAAAATATAAAAACGAAACTGAACCATACAGTATCGCATTTCTATATCTTAAAAGACCTGGCCTGAGATTTATGGATTTAAGATTTTTTTAAATCACGCTTAGGCCTATGTGTTCTATTAGGCCTGTGTATAACGTGTGCTGATGCATATTTACATGTTTTAGAAGTATTCATTTTGAGTGATCCCAGGAAATAATTTGTAATATTACAGTT